ATAAATGCATGCAATCGCTACAATGCTGCCTTTTGTTGTTTCACTTTCTAACCTTCATTGCAGAGATAACAGGATACTATGATCTCCCACTGCTTGAACGAATCTGCAGGAGCCTGAAGATCTTGCATTCTCCTTCTCAACTTCTTTCATAGACCGCAGGAAGAATAAAAAGCCTTGTTCTGGTTTATAAATCTAGCTACCATTTGCTCTGATAGCTGATCTCTGGAAACTCTTGGCTCAACCATACATGAAAGTTTAAAGGTCAATCTCGGTTGTTAAAAACTGGAAAAAAAAATGCTTTAAAAAAAAAACACAGATTTTTGGCTAAAATGTGTGTGTTGGGGGGTTGGGGACATACCTGATTTTAGAGAACTGTGCCTCTTGTGCGCCAGTTGCTTCTCACCCCTGGTTTAAACAACCACCAGTTCATCATGTTAGAACATAACAGATAAGGATGCTTTGTTTAAAAGTTGAAGCAGAAACCTGTACTTTCTGCCCAATTGTATGTGGAACTAGGATGATGCAGGGAGAGAAGACAGATGAGCCCCAGGGTCAGGTGGGCTTAACTGTGTAGCAGGAAGCCATGTTTGCTGTTAATATTAAAACCTATCCTGATAAGAGGACTTAGTTTGTAAACTGAAAAAAAAAGGTTTATATATTTGTACAGACATATGAGTCATATGCTTACAGACTGCCTGTTTTTCCTATATTACACAACCTGCGATGATCTGTACTGTTCCAATAAATAGATATTACTTTGTACTGTACACATTCCTAGGAATGGAAGTGGTAAAAGCTGATTAAATAAAGTAACAGAGCAGTGTGCAGTGTGTGTGTGCTTGAGAATTCCTTGTCCCTTCTTCTCAGCCAGTGAGAGGGGGAGCCTGGTGCATAGAGATCCTGAATCACCAATATGTCTATGGTTTTGAGAGTTCTCTGGCTGATTACAGTAGTACACAAGAGGTTACATTCCAGTCCCATGGTTTTGAGAATAGACTTTGCAACAATTTTATAGATTAAAATGTCAGGTTGAGATGACTCATCCAGCAGAGTGTCATACCAGAAACATAAATCACCCTGGCTCAGAAACTTTCAGAATGTCAAAATCCTCAGTTCATCTGTTTGGTATCCATGGTATTTTATATGTCATGTTCCCCTGTTTTCATCCATGAAGAATTTCCCTATTGAACCAGCTCTTGGCCTTAGAGTGCAACTATATCACAGAAGACAGCCAGAGGGGTAAAGCACACGTATTCAAGTGCACACATGAGTTTAAGTACTACACACAGAATCACGGACATTCAACTCCAACTATGACAGTACTAAACACACTAAATTAACGTTAAGTGGAAGCCACCTGAGATAAAGCATACGATGAAGCTGCATTTCCCCACAGGGAATTATATCAGGCAACTGCAATGATAGTATTATTTTCTGAAGCTGCAGTTAATTTGCTAGCATAGATCCACTTCTATCCACAGGTGAAATTACTAAGATATTATAGCCAAAACATCAGTTTTGAACAAAATGTTTCTCAAGAGGCATGCCTGCAATTAAAGCATCTAAAGCAATGATGGGCCCAGTGAGCCAGGCAACATTAAAGCAGTCACAGCATGCAAATAGCACAATTCACTAAAGGACTGTGATGTACATTCTTCAAACCCAACAGTATCTCTTTACTAGTAAATAGTTGTTTTTTTTTTAAGTCACACACATTTTTAAATATGTGACAATTGTCGTACTGGATCATTCCAAAGATACCCCCACTAGTCCGGCATTCAGTTTCTCAGAGCGGCCAGCCATGTCACTTCGGGATGCTCACACAAACAGGCTTGTTTAGCTGCAGACATTCAAATAGCTCAACCTAAGTCACAATGGCAGACTAACAACGAACAAAATGTAAGTTACCACACCAAACAAGACTACATAAGCGGCTTTGCCAAGTCTCACAACTTAAACATATATAAATGTAGTTTCCAAAATTGTAAGGAAGGAACAGCGGGATTTAGACTGCAATGTGAAATGGGCTCACTTTGAACTAAATACATTTGGGATTGAGGAGGATCTTAAAAATTAACTCAGACAGTCTAATTTGTATATCTCTGTGGAATATTTTTCAAACCTTGGACAGAAAAAGACCGTCATTGGCCAGAGGGCCCTGAAAGTTAACTTTTCTAAAAGTTTCACAATAATAGCTGTAATTAATTACATTATTACAGAAGATTCACCATTCTGGAGGGGGAAAATCAATGCTAGAAAGGCTCCTAATTAAACAGTGAAAGTTGGCAACGCTCGATAAAGCCAGATATGTAGCAAAAACAAAGCTCACTTACCAATTTCCTGTCCCACACATAGACATTATTCCTCATCTACTTTGTGTGTATATGTGTGTGTGTGTTTTCCACCTTCTTCCCACTGCCTTGCTGTGCTGTCCAACAGACCTGCAGTTCTAAGCTACGATCCCCCTGAACTTCTCAGGTGTAGAAGGAATAGATACAATACATAGGCATCAAACTGAAATACCTATGTGTGTGTGTGTTTTCCACCTTCTTCCCACTGCCTTGCTGTGCTGTCCAACAGACCTGCAGTTCTAAGCTACGATCCCCCTGAACTTCTCAGGTGTAGAAGGAATAGATACAATACATAGGCATCAAACTGAAATACCTGGGACAGAAGAAGAGATGTATCGGGGTGTTTCTCCGGGGGAGGGGGTTGCCACTGGCTAACCCCATTCACATTGGGGGTGCCCAATCTTGTGCTTTCCATTTTTGCCTAAACTCTTTCTCACTCTTGGTTGAAATCTCAGTGAAACTTTGAAAGGGTGGGCTTGGACCAAAGTAATACAACCACCCCAAATTCTTCATCCTTACGTTAGTGACCACTCTCCTGTCAGTTTCGTGCTGCACTCAGTTTTCTGCTTCCTTCAGCGTACCCCTTGCCTCACAGGAGAGCACAGGCTCTGCCTCCACCTCCGTAAACTTTATTTGAACACACAAAGCACAGACAGTACACACACATATTGGTTCTTCTGTGACAGTTCTACAGTACTTACACTGCTTTGGATGACACTTGTAAAGAATGCTTTTTTTTTTCCATTTGGTTAAACAACAAGAAATGTCAGAAAAACAAAGATCTGGTTTTTTTTAAACAATGTGTGAATGGTGAACATCCATGGAACAACAACAACAACAACAATGACAAACAAGGATGAATATACGGGACAATATGTCTCCACATACAGTACATTGTTTCTGTAGAAAGTTTCTCAGTATACATCTGTAATATAAATGTACAACAGTCTCACAGTGAGTCAGCAGGAAACAGTGTTGAGAAATCAATGAGGTTTGCATCTGCCCAGCAGAACAGACCACCATCAGTGCGCTCATGTGCCACAGAGTGAGGTGGACCCTAGAAAAGACTTGATGGGTCAGCTAGCCTCAAGATGGCATCTGAGAACCAGCAGCTGGGCAAGCCTAGCAAGGCTAACTCTCGCTCTCCACTCAAGTCTTTCAAGGAGGGTAGCTCACTCTTCAACAGTCTTAAGGCAACGGAATGTGCACAAGTAAGTTAAAAATAAAAATTCACACCACATTGTTTTAGAAATCCACCCAAGTAGGCTACTCAGTCCTTAAAAGAAAAGCTATCAAGAAGCTTCTGAATGTCCTCTGTATTGCCATGGACACTGAGATGGTATGATATGTACAGTTTGCTACATCACCATATCAGCACACCCACAACTGTATTGCATACACATTATGTTACACATGATATACACAGGGCAGAATATGGATACTGACATGTTTCTAAATTTGTACAATATTATGTATCTATCTATCTATCTGTAAATGTGTGCATATATTTTTTTATATTTCTCACAGATTAGGAAGACACACAAAAGTATATGAACCTTAAGGAAATCACTGTATAAAATACTTACAATATTGAGGAAAATAGATCTATATACAGTGCACTCCTGTTAAACTGAATATGCTAGTGCAAATCCAGCAGGAAATAGTATGAAGCAATAATCTACAAGCAGAAATCCCATCAAAATGGCAGAAGAAAAAAAAGCTAGAGGTTATTGATCAGCAACCTAGATTAGTGATCTTCAGTGTGGTGGGTACATTAATTCACTGGCCCCTGGTAAATTTGTTTCTGCTGTCCCAACACTAACATGCCACAAGCAAAAAATACTAAAGGTACTCAAGCATGAAAGCCAAGTGGCACTTTATGAAGGAAAGCAGAACCAAGAAAAGCAAATATCCCAAAGTCATTTGTTAGCTTTACCAGTGAAGCCCTTAGCCTGATATCAAATCCTTTCCTACTGAGCTATAGAAAAAGAATATGAAAACATCTCCCATCCATAGCAGAATTGACTTTGAAGTCCCTTTGGGGTAGTTTGAAAACACATGGACTTTGGGGGACTGTGAATCTTCTTGCACAATCCTCTTTTCTTTTTTAAAAGAAAAAAAGCAGGGTTATGTAGGAGGTGTTCCTGTAAGACTTGCCCATAACTGGCATCTGTTCCAAACCATTCGTGTGTCTGATTAAATATATGCTTCTGTTTCTGTGGGTACATCTGTACAGTATGACTGAGATGCATTACGGCCCTACAGTAAGCAGTGCCCTTTCTTATCCTATGATGGCATCACTTCTTGTTCGGTTCCTTGGCAATTGGTGGCAAAGCTGACAGTTTGTGCCCATGCACCCAAGGGGAAAAAAACAGAGCAATATATTTCATCAGACAGAAACAGCAACAGAAACATCTATCTGTCTGCCATTCCATAACACCCCTGCAATGCTGATGCTATTCCTCAATCCCAATATTTTGGAGACCACCTAGAGCATCTCATTGAACTTGGAAGTGCTATGTTTCAGCAGAAACTGACAACCTTCTGCACCAATACTGTTACCTTGTGTCACGCATAACGAGGCCTCCCAGTGAGAGACTATACTCAAGCACATCTTTTCTATTTAGCAAAAAATGGTTTCCACTGTACCCTTGCTGTGTCCTCTTCCTAATGTGACAAACCCAGAGGAGATGAAATTGTGGAAATCCGGGCCTCCGCTTCGATAAATATCCTTTCCATAGTGACCTGCCAAAGGAAGACAAGAGACAGCACATCACCTTATGCAATTCACCTTCATCCTCTGCCAGTTCCAACAAGATTTGTCATTCTATCCCTAGACGTAAAAAAAAGATGAGCTGCAGCATTAAGAGAAGACATTACCTGTGGGACAGAAAGGGATTAAGGGAAGGTTTCCTCTCTTATCCCAGCCATGTTTGTGTCAGTATCATGCAATTTTCCTCCTGCCACACATCCAGTTTCGGGCCTTTTGATGAACTTTGCCTCTGGGGAAGGGCCACGGCTCCCTGTTAGAGGCATGTTTGACCACATACAGTAAAGCTGAGACAGACTCACGTCATAAGCCATGGATAAACCCTGCCATTTTGTCTCAGTAATCTTCCAGGTCTCACCACAGAAAGGTTCTCCACTGAGACTCCCACCTGTAACACCAAGATTTCTTCATTTTCTGCAAAATACAAGACTTGGACTTTTCCAGTCTTGCTTTCCTGTCTATCCTCTTTTTGCCTGCTGTTCTCTGCAGGAAGCAGGCACCTTCTCTCTCTCTCTCTCTCTCCCCCCCCCTCACACACAGACCCACAACCACACCCCACCAATGAATGTTGCACAGGGACAACGACATTCTGCCCAGGAATCATAATAATCCCATATAGCCTGTCATTCTTTCCATAAAAAAGAACAATGGGGGTGGGGAAGAGGGAATCACACACAGAAATCTCATTGTGAGGAAATAAGAGGATCATCCCACCCCAATTCTCTCCAAAAACACAAGACTGTGAAATTCATATCCCTACTGATTTGCTTGAACCATTGACCTGATGAAGCTTCCTTTGTATCTAACCCAGATAGTTAGCTCTAGTCTTCTTTTTGGTTTGGGACCTCAGTATTGGCACTATGTATGTATTCGAGAAAACAGTGGAAATAATAGAGGGTTAAATCTGGGTCACAAAGGAAATCTGTGAAACCAGTTCCATTCCTCCAGCAATCCTCATGTTGAATCCTTATGGCAGAAAATTCACATGCTCTATCTCTAGTTTGAAGATTATGTTTGAGAAAGATTCCATAAGCTGAACCTTCCTCAGATCAATTTCTTTGGAGCAGGGAGCATGTATAGGCCGTACAACATGTTTTAGCTTCAGAGTCTTCTCAAAATGCAAGTGGGTGAGTGGGTGACCAATGATGACCAAGGACTCTAGCTCTATGTCACCAAAGTAGCTCACTCATCTCCGCAGCTATGAGTCTCTTGGTGCTTTTACACCACCTCTGGATGAGAAACAGAAGATGGGAAATTCTTTGTAGGACCACATGTCTCTCAAAGGCTGCCACACATTGGGAAAATAGCAATTCCTTGGTACAGCAGTTTCACTGGCTTCCAGTCCATTTCTGAGATCAATTCAGTGCTAGTTTTGACTTATAAAGCCCTAAAAAAACTTGGAGAAACACTGGGCGCAGATATGAGAGAAGATCTTCTTGATGGTCACTCAGACTATGGAACTCTTTTCCATAGGACATCAGGCTATCCTTCCACCAGCAGTCAAAAAAGTTTTTTTTAATGGCAGACTTTTAATAATTAAATTGATGCTAAGGAGGCAATTTTAATAGAGCACTTGTCATTTATCTCTTTTACATGTGTTTTGAAAAATTGTTAAAAAGGGACTTCATGTGTATTTTCTAATGATTCATCTGTGGGTCGTCCCCCCAAATATTATAATTTATTGTAATTTTACTTGTATTAATACTCGAGTTCTAAAATTCTTTGCAAGTCTCCATGGGTCTTTTGGCAAGAAAGGTAAGAAAAGGCAGGGCCTCAAACAAAGAAACAAGCATGCTGACCACTGTTATAGATGCTACACTCTAGAGAGCAGCATTTTGATATTAGCATGAATGAGCCACAATACCAGAAGTAGGGGAAAATTATGACTTTTCTTTACTGGACTCCTAATTCAAAAAAAATACCTAGCTTGTTTTTTTTCTGTTTTATTTTAGTTTTGTTTCATTTTTATTTTCCTAAGCTACCACTTAAGGTACAGATGATATAAAAGAACAAAGCAGATATACTGGAAACTAACCACTGGCTCCCCATATTTCTTTGCCCTTACAAATCCCAGGAAAGCCTCTCTGCAAAACATAATTTCTATAAGCACTGAGCAGAAACCATATTCCCACAGGGAAAAGTTTTTGTTGGCCGTCTGAGACCTAAGGAAATCCTCTCATGATTTCATACACATTCTCATATACTCCTGGGCTATCATTTCCTTTGGTGTAAATCTTTGGCTACATGAGCGCGTCCTTGGCAAAGAGCAAGAATGGATGTTGCACATTCTGCTGGATAGCTCAGTGGTCAGATCTCTGGCTGCAGAGCCAGAGGCTGGGAGTTCAGTTCCCCCCACTGTGCCTCCTTAAGAGGGGCTCGACTCTATTTCTGAGGTCTGCAACTGCTTATAGTAACTGTGTGAAATGTCTTGATATTGTTCCCAAAGCACCAATGGCAACGGGGACCACTGAAGTGTGTTTCTTCCAGAGATGAGATGTTTTGATTGCCAGGTTTCTGTACTTTGTTAGTTTTTCCAGTTCTTTATTTTCAACTCTGGCATCCCCTGGAATTGCAGTATCAATGATCTGGACATTTTCATTGTTCTATTACTACTATGCCTGGTGTGTTATATTCAAGGTGTCTGTCTGTTTGGATCTGGAAATCGCACAAGAACTTGACTTCCTCATTATACTTTTTCTCATGGGCCAGGGCATGGACTCACCTCCCTCTATTACCATCTCTACACAAGACTTGGAGGTTGTTCATGATTTCATGTATCTTGGCTTAACAATCTCTGACACCCTCTCCCTAGATGTCAAGCTGGATAAACGCATTGGCAAAGCAGCTACCATGTTCTCTAGACACACAAAGAGAGTATGGCTTAATAATAAGCTGACGGCATATACCAAGATTCAGGTCTATAGAGCCTGTGTCCTGAGTACACTCCTGTACTGCAGTGAGTCCTGGACTCTTTGTGCATGGCAGGAGAGGAACTTGAACACGTTCCATAGCTGTTGTCTTCGACTTGGGCATATTGTGAGAATGGCTGACAGTTGGATTCCATAAGATCTCCTGTATGATTTGTCTTCACTGTGGAAGGGATTGTCACTCTCGAATTGGCCTTTTCAGCCACACTAGGTGCTGTTCCAAGACCTCTATTCAGAGCACATTACTATAGTCTCTCAAGACTGAAGGATGCCTACAGGATTCTTATTCTTTCAAAAACACCAGTCATAGTCAAAATTATAAAAATATTGACTACCATTATATAAAATATACACGTTTTGCCAAAAACCTAAGTATTTGTTAAATATACATATATGTATGCTCTTCCTATAATATTGCCATTTTTGTAGCTCTGATTGTGTGATTTCTGAGATCTGCAACTGCTTATAGTACTGTGTGAAATTTCTTCATATTGTTCCCAAAGCCCCAATGACTATGGGGACCACTGAAGTGTGTTTCTTCCAGAGGCAAGATGTTTATTGTCGTTGTTATTATAAAAATGGCTGCATGGCGAATTGGCAGAAAATGTCTCTAATCAGAAAGGGTGAAAAACATCTAAGGGGCAGGAGGTGAAAAGTAAGGCAAGCCATCCCAGGAGAAAGCAATCCAGATGTATACTCATGGCTTTTTGTCACTTTTTAAAATTGTAAACTCAGGGTCTCCCCACATGACCCGCACTTTGGCTCTCTTTCCCATTCTTTTCATCAATATGCTTTGTATAAATGTGACAAAGGAGAGTCTTGAAAACAGAATTATGCCTTAATATGCAAAGGAGAACTGGCAGCAGGGGCCCTGCCACAGGAAGCCTAGCTGGGTGTTCAAAGCCTTATAATCCATTTCCCTCATTTCCCAAAGGCTGAGCCTTGTTGCACTTACAACAGAAAGGAAAGCACGGGACTGAGTGTGGAATAGGCAGTCATGGATGATGGACACAGGAAATAAAGATGCAAGGTATAAGCAGCACAGGGGCACATGGTGGAGAATACAGTGGTGCCTCGCACAACGGGCACATCGTAGAGCGATGAATTCGTCGACGAGGACGTTTTCGCGATCACAAATGCGATCGCATACCGATGGCCCCTATGGCCGAAAATCGCAGAGTGAAGGTCGGTAAGCGGTTCGCTTACCGCCCTTCGCTTTGCGCCCCGCCGATCAGCTACAAAATGGCTGCCGGAAGCCCCAAAATGGCCACGCGAAAATGGCTGCCGGCCATAGAGGAACATCACTGAACGGTGAGTAAAGGAGCCTTTTGGAGTGCATTAAACGATGTTTAACGCGTTCCAGTGGCTTTTTCTGCCCCGCTCAGCGATGTTTTCACACAGCGAGGGTTAATCCGGAATGGATTAACCTCGCTGTGCGAGGCACCACTGTATTGCTTTAGTTGCTGGAGATATTTTGAGGTCCTAATGTTCTGTTTTAGTTTTGCTTTTTAGTGTATTTTACTGTGTTGTTCTGGACCTCACCCCCACTTTTCTGCTGAGACCTTTCCCCCTCTGTTGAAATCTGTTGCTAAAAGCAGTCATATTTGTCAGTTTGCTGTTTGATCTGTTCATAACTGTAAGTAAAGAAAACTGTTTTTATTCTTTCTACCACTAATGTCTCAGTGAATCACTGAGACTGTGTCAGTTAAGGAGAAAAGGGGTGGACTAATCTGGGGAACATGAAGCCATTCTGCTCTGTGAATCCCTACATATCTGCTGTGCGGTTAGATGAATTTAACCAAAAATTCAAAATTGTGCAACAGGGCAAGATGCGTGGTCCCAGAATGCCTGCAGAAAAAACATCATGGTCATCCATTTTGGAGTGCTTTATACTTAGAAAACCCTCAGAGAAATAACTATGAGATATGGGCACAAACTGCCAGTTTAGCAGTTCATAATACTCCTTCATGGATTGCTGCCTTGTCGTGGTGAAGGGGCTTGAGTAACTCAGAGAAACTATGGGCTATGCCGTGCAGGGACACCCAAGA